GTCATCACCAACATGTCTTTTGACATGACCTGAACTTAATGAGAAGTATTGAAGTTTTCAACCAGCTGATCTCTACTCTGGGCCATTCTGTGGTCATGCTGAGCATTTGGTCTGTTTCTGAATTGTTGCTAGAGTTGGAAAGCCAGAGTCAAATAACTATGTTGTGCCATATTGAATTAACATATCTTTAAGAATTCTTCTTTTCAAAGAAAAACATGTGTTTTGTTTGGAGATACCTGTCCAATGTATTCATTTTAGTACCATCATCACTGAGCACTTCATTACACATTGAAGCATCTCCTCTCCATTCTGAATTGGTTTGGTGAACCCAACATTATCCTCATACTTTAGTTTAGATCATAAGATCAACAGTAACAGATCACAGACAGAAAAATTCTGTATGAATGTGGACAGAAGATCAGGTTAGGTAAAAGAGAGAGAAAAACCCTCATGTGAGCTGAACAGACAATTGTAGTAAAAAAGAACGGCGTGAGTTTATTAAACACGGTGACTTTATAAAACGTACTGCTGATGGAGAAAGTCAGCAGAGACACAGAGACAGAAAGAGGCGGAGCCAGCTGGCGTGTTTGCCGTGAGAGACCAGAGTTGCAGGCTAGGTGTGTGTGTGTGTGTGGACGTGGGATCAAATGAAAGGTCTACTCAAGCCTTACCAGGACTGCCTTCTTCCACCTCAAAAACATCGCCCGTCTCCGCCCATCACTCACCTTCTCTGCAGCCGAAACCTTGAAGGCGTGCTTCATTACATCCAGAATGGCCTACTGCAACAGCAACTGCTGTGGTTCTTCTGGTAAAGCCCTACAATACATCCAAAACTCTGCTGCCCGCCTCTCTCTCTCTCACTCTATAAAGCACTTTGAATTACCTTGTTGTTGAAATGTGCTAATAAACTTGCCTCGCCACACTGACACTCGCGACCACATCACCCCTGTCCTCCAGAATTTTCACTGGCTCCCTGTTCCCCAACGCATTCATTACAAAATCCTCCTCCTCACACAAAAAGACCTCCATAAACAGGCCCCTTCCTACCTCACTGACCTGCTCCACCACCACAATCGCTCCCGTAACCTCCGTGTGTTACGTAATTTCTTTTGGCCTGGGTTAAAAACTGATGTATCAAAATACTGTCGCTCTTGTCACTCTGTTGTGGGAAAGCCCAATCAACCTGTTCCGCCAGCCCCTCTGCACCCAATCCCAGCTTGGGGAGCCATTTGAAAGGGTATTGTTAGATCGTGTGGGCCTGCTGCCAATTCCATCACTAAACCTGACTCTTTTCCGCTTCCAAGGATGGAAGATTACATTGACAGAGTAGGCTCAGCCCAATTTGTAACGACCTGTTAAAATGTTACTGGCAGGTTCCCTTAACACCACGAGCCTCTGAGATATCTGCTTTTGTTACCCCGACCGGTTCCTCCAGGATGCGGTTATGCCATTTGGATTGCGCAGCACTCCTTTTACATTTCAGCATCTCATGCAGACTGTATTAGCTGGGGAATTGTGAAGCCTATTTAGATGAATGGTTTCCTACTCTTCTACTTGGTCCATTCATCTAAATACTCTGTCATCTTCTCCCATTTCTGTGAGACCTCTCTCACCTTAAACCTTGCAAAATGTGAATTTAACAGGTGCGTCCTGTAGCAGCTGCAGGCTGTTATTGATTTTCCCGTCCCACAGACTAAAAGGGCGTTACGTTGTTTTTTGAGAATTTTATCCACACCAAACACGCCATCAAACACCAAGCATCTAAATAAGCCTATATCACAAGATAAATCACTCTGTAATCTCTGTACATGGCTGCACTTATAAGCATCTAATTATATCTAATCACAACGTATCCTCATATCCAACCTCTCAAACCAAAGCTGTAAAGCTCACATCACTCAAATCACCAAAATTACAGACTAATTAGCTGGATAAAAGTAACAACAAACGAGCCAATATACATATACAATCACAACCGCTGACTTACTTTTGCCGTTTCCAGTCCAAAAATAGCTCAGTTGTTGACAAAAATAATTCTAACCGCTATTTTAGTGCAATACCTGGGAGCTATGTGCCTGCCTTCTCTCGCCTTTTTCTGCAAAAAGGAAGTGTCTCGGTTTGGTACACTCAGTCTTTTTTGCGCTTTGGTAAGCATGGGTGTGCTTGTGGTCACAGGAATGTTATGTTATTCACGGTTTTTATCAATATTTCAATGTTTTGGAAGCTTCATGTTAATTGGAACTTGGTTGTATGGACAGAAATAGTGTTTTAAAGTTAACTCCCAATAAAAGTCAACATTTAAACAGTAAACATTGTCAAAATAGGACATTGATAACAGTTGTACTTTAGTTTATTTTCATCACATTTGTAGTTACAATTCCATTCCAGGTGTATTAGAAGATATTCAGTTCTTATGAAAATTATCTTATGATGGTTTATTGCATCAAAAATTTAGCTTTTTTACCAGGCGAGAATAAAACATATGATATTTGGTGGTAAAATAAATGTTAATTTACAATGTTCCTTAGCTTCTTAGAGAGCAGAATTATGTTATTCCTGATTCATTGTGGGTATGTTATTTTAGGCGTTCTCTGTATAAAAGGGTGGCTGTCCCCTTAGTTTATGTGTTTTTGCTTAGTCCTAGTTTTGTGGTCTTAGACCTGGTTTGGAGTTTATTGTTTCCCATTTAGATGTGTTCTGTTTATTCTTCCTGGTCCCTTGTAATTTGTTCTGGTCTTTGTCCACTTGTGAGTCTGTCTTGTCCATGTCATCTGGTTCCGTATTTTGTGAGTGTCAAGTTTCAGTTTCTTTGTGTGCCCTGTCTGTTTTCTTCTTGTGTCATTCTCTTAATCCTTAATCCTATGTCTCCATGTTAGTGTAGTCCTGTTTCCTGTTTGGTCCTGTCTCTGTTCCCTGCCTTGGTTTTGTTCTGTTATTCAGTTGTTCCCTGTTTTCAGTTTTCTGTCCTTGTGTTCCCATATGCTTTACTTGTACCTTGTATAGCTTGGTTTGCTGTTGTTTGATTACCTGATGTGTTTCAGTTGTGCTTCCCTCCCTGCTCGTTTACCTGTGTATTTAAGCCTTCAGTTCGGTTCAGTCTTTGTTACGTCCTTTGTTGTCTGATGTTGCAACCTGTTCTCACTTTTTGTCCTGTGTGAAACAAAAAGTCAACGTTAAATATTTTTATTTAGGCAAGTTACGACTTAAGTGACGTTAGTTAACTTATGTGTTAACGGACATCCGTAGTTATTTAAACCCAAACCATGATCTTTTCCTAACCTTAACCAAGTAGTTTTCTGTGCCTAAACCCAACCGAACTGCAACGTTTCACAACTTTAATAACGCTTGTAACCGGATGTTGCATATTTATTGTTTCAGATCCCTAAAGTCAATAATTGGCGCTAAAGGGCTACCCAGGGCGTTTAAAAGTGACGACAAATGGCCTTGACCAAGCGTCAATGTGTGACGAGTCGGCAGTGAGAATGTGTTGGAGCTTCTCAAATGCTTGGGAAATTTAGCATGTGTGGAAGCTACCGCTACTGAAAAGCTGTTTGATTCAGAAAACAGCTACCACAAAGCTACTGACAAATGTAGTTAAAGTAGAAACGGAGCTACTTGTAGCGACGCTACTGCCCAACACTGGTAATCTGGGCCGGGCTGTCAGGGAGGATGTGTGACTCCTCCTCTTCGGCCTGGATCTTTCCCTCAGTCAGGCCTAAGTTTGTTGTTTTCATGTTAGGAAATGATGACAGGACGATGATGACAGTGAGCAGAACAACGCCTCCGTTTCCTCTCGGTCTGTCACCTCTCCAGAGCCATATGTTGGTTTCTGGCATCATGTCTTATCAGTTGTGTCACCTTGCCTACCCCTGTAATCAGTGTGCCCACAGTGAGTGTTTGGGAGATTAGTGGTTCTAGGTGGTCTCAGAGACCTTCACTCCCCTCCCTCCCTAGGAACACAAGGCAGGGGAAAGCTCAGCTCACTCATTGATCTTCATCTGGTCTGATGCCATCTGGTTGCTTTGGCACTCGTTTGCAGTAAGTGGCGTGAATCCAAGTAGCTCTTTCAGACACCTTTACTGCTGTTTCTGTTGTTAGCAGGATCTGAAATGGCCCAGTCCACCTGCGAGCCCACTAATGCTTTCTCCTGAAGTCCTTCACCAAGTTTGTCTTTTATAGATCCCAACCTTTGCGTGGGAAGTGGTGTCCGCACGTTTCCAGCCCTGTTTTCAACGTACACGCCATTTATAAATGAGACCCCAGGGCGTTACTGAAGATGACGGATCACCTGCTCAAAAAGTTGCCGTTAAAGGTTCCTGCTAAAGGAGCGAATAACTACATCAAACTTGATGCAGCACCTGCGGGATCATCGCCCAGCTTTGCACGCCCAAGTAAAGTTAATACATAGCCTAATAACTGAGTTAAATAGCGTGGCAAGTTGCTAGGGAAATTAAATATAAACGTGTCACTTACAATCTATGCCGTAGCGGTGAGAGTCGAGCTTTCGGTGCAGGCGTAAATGAACAAGGCAAGTGTAAAATTTCAGACCCACCGCAACGACAGCCCCGCTGCGCTATGAGGGCTTGTAGACTTCCAGGACTACACCAATGAACTGCATTTCAGTTATTAATAACACTGCATGAGAGATGTTCTTCTCTTCATTTTCACTAAAACTTGACAATAACTGTTCAGTTTCTTCCAATCCCTAATAACAATTTCCCCAGGGGGATAAATTAAGTCAATATTCCTCTTATATTAATAACACTTACATATTATATAAATATAATTGTTAATGAAATTAAATATTAAAAATCAACTTCAGTCATTACTAGTTTTGTGAAATTAATTAATGCATAATAATCTTGAAACTGTGATTATTCCTCTGACAATAATCGTACCAATAACATCGTAATTATTACATCCCTAGCCCAGAGTGCCGGCTGTGTGGAGCCTAGTAACTAAGTAACAAACTAAGTAACTAACAAACTAAGTAACTCAGCAGCCAGCCTGACTGGTGCAGTCCACCATGAGCAGGCTGCAGTCCTGGACTCATGGAAACATGAAGTGAAAGGCTGCAGCTGGTTCAGTCAGCATCTGTCCGAGCAGAAGGACAGAAAGATCAGACACATCCTGTCCAGTGTTGCCTTCAGGGTGCGTCTGACAGAACAGAGACGCTGTTAGAGTCACTACAGGCATTTCACTTTACTCACATGAAGTCTGAACAGTCTGTCTGCTGCTCTGTCTCCCTCTGCAGGTTCAACACATCATGGCAACCCGTCAGTGCACCGTTGAGATTGAGAATAAGTGCTCTGACTTCACCTTCTGTAACCCGCAGTGAGTCTGCTGTAGTTTCTCTGAGTGTCTGTTGTTTAATGTTTCTATAAGAGGACTGAGATCAGCTGCTACCAGCTGCATGCTTCTCTTTTCATAGAGCTAAACTAATAGTTTTCCCCTGTTGTAGTGTTAAATACAGCCTGGACCGATGCCTGTTCTGGATGCTGTGAAATGAAACTGATGTTTCTGACATACTGTCTGTCTCCTCAGGGTGTTCACTTTCAGTGGAATCTATGAGAAGCCTTTGCCACCAACTCTTGGTCCCTCTGAATCTTGCAGCGCTCTGTTCATCAAGACTCCTCACGGAGCACGTGGAGCTGTTGGAGTCCTCACTTATGATCTGCAGAATGAATCAAAGAAATGTGATGGAAAAATGGCCGTCATGTTCTCCATTCCTTATGACTACTTCTGGTACCGTAACTGGTACGGAGTGGGAGTCTATGACATTAATACAAAGTGTGATAAGAGCCTTTTTCACGAGATGTATTACAACACAGAGAAAGGGTTTGACTTACAGAGGTGAAGATGTTAATATCGCAGTCACCATGTCCGACAGTTGCACACCTGTCATCAAGGTGCAGGTGTCTTCAGGTTCTTCCAAGCACCATTAATCCCAGTTGGCTCACTAAGACAGAAAGTCTCTTCTTTATTTCATCCTGTCACTTTTCATTCTCTGCGTTAGTTTCTCTTTATATATCTGCTGTCTGCTTAGATGCTGAACTGTGTTTCTTTGTTCTGCTGCTGACCGTGTGTGATGACAATAAAGTGGAATCTGATCTACTAAATATTTGTGTGATAAAACATCTTACAGCAAGACACTGCAGGTGAATAGAGTAAAGCAAATGATTATATATCTATATTATATATAAACTTACATTAAGACAATATTTCTTTGTATCTAAGGTTTTCTGAAATATTATGTTTATATATGCAAGTGAGGGACAGTCTAATTTACATATATTTCGAGAAGTGAAATCTGAAGACTGGATTAAGTCAGGTTCAAAATTATTGTTTTATTTGGTTGACACAATTCAATTCAATTTTAATTATTTAGCGCCAAATCACAACAGTTATCTCTGAGCGCTTTTCATAAAAGAGCAGGTCTAGACCGTATTCTGTGATGTTTACAGAAACCCAACAGTTCCCACCAAGAGCAGCACTAGAATCAGAATCAGCTTTATTTGCCAGGTATGTGTACACATAGGAGGAATTTGACTCAGGATTGTACATTGCTCACGATGTGCTTACTCATAAAATAATACCAAAACATAATAATAAAATAAAATCAGACACAAACTACAGTATAGACAACACTAATATACACACTATGAACAAAACAATATAGACATATTGATAAATAGTGCAGTGATTAGAGTGCAAAGGATGCAGGAGTAAATTAAAGCTGCAAGCAGTGTTGCTCGTTCTTGTACCGGTTCCGACGCCGCATGAAGGTGTTATATGTCACTTCCTGTGTCCCCTATGTGGAGCTACATAGCACTTGCCGCTATGAATATAAATCGGTATTGGCGTGTAGATGTCTGCGGGGTGGGAGAGTTATCAAGCACGTAAAGTTTGTTTCAGATGTGAGCATGTACACTGAACAATAATGTACCCAAACAATAAAATAAATTCCTTTTATATTTCCCTGCCTTGTTGTTTATGTGTACATACAGAGGAAGAATGTGAGAACAGCACACATTTCATCGTTACTGTGTGTTAGAGCATGGGAGAACAGTGGATACTTTTAATACAGCCCACACCCCTAATACTGTGTAACTATAACAAGTAGAGAACAGAAGAAAAAGATGTTCTTTCTTTACAACTGTCTGCATAGCTTATTCATATTGTGTAATGAATGAAAATAAATAGGCCTACTAGGCTCCTCTCTACTTTGACATTTAAGATTAGCTTGTTTGATCCACCTTCATACACATGTGACATTACTGTACAACTTGAGAAAGGTGAGTTGTTTTCTGCTCCAGCCTGCCTAAAAGAAAAGCGTTTTTGGGATTAAATGGACTTTATTAGCTGCTGCAGTGCAGGATGAACTCAGAATAGACCCATTTCTCACCTTATTATTCTAAATCATGCAACGAAGAAGAAGAAATGCATAATAAATCCTGGGACAAAATCTGTCCACAAATACTGTACAGCATGTAGTCTAATGAACAAGACTTGTGTTATAGTTGACTTGGGCAGTGAAATGTTTCTTTAATTCATGTGGTCATAGTTGTCCACAACTCAAATCAGAATATAAGAAGAAATGTTTTATACCACCTCAAGAAGGCTTCCTATCAGAAAGGTAGGAAGGTATTTCAAATGTACAACTGCAGTACTTAAATCTAAGTAAAGTAATTTCCCTGACATTTTTGTGTTACTTTACTTTTAATAGACGCATGTAACAGGTTTTATACTTCCTGTGAGTATAATCCAATCAATCTTATTTTCATACTGTATATCCGATGTGTAATTTGATAAATTGTGTTGTATGTGGTGCTCGCATCGGGTACTACTGAGACTTCATTGCCCTCTTCAGAGAAGACTCTGACTGCAACATGCGTCTTTGTAAAGAGAGAAACGGACAGAAAAAGTCTCTAACTCTGCCTGTCAGCTCGCTCTGCTCCGTTAAAACTGAATTTACCATACAGAATTGAATACGAGTGCACTCCAGATTTAGCTGCAGCCAGCTGACCGTGTGCTTCTCCCTATACCGCAGTTCTGTGTCCATGCATGCAGCAAACTGAAAGCACTGTCTGTCGGAGCGTCTACGTGAAAAGAGAAGGAAGACATTGCTGGTAGTATTGTCTTCAGAGTTGTTAAACACCTCAGCGCACTGAAGGAAGCCATCTGACTGTGTGAGGGGCAAGATCGTTGATGTCTGCAGGCAGAGTAGGAGCTCTCCTGTCTGACTGGTCCACCAATAGCAGAGAAGATGACCCCTTGAGACACAGCCCCTCCTCATTTGCATAATGAGGCAGAAATGCATACAAAAATTTAAAAAAGACAGGCAGAAATAAATACCATGGGTGAAAATAAATAAGTTAAATAAATACAAAGTAAGAATAAAACAGACAAAAATATTAAAACACACACATAAATAAATACATTTAAAAAATTAGTAATAAATAAAGATGAATAAACAAATAAGGTAATTATAACAAAGGTGAATAAGTAAAGGTATTATTATTATATTATAATAATAATACTATTAAAGGCGTATTAAAGGCACTAAGTAAAATATACATTTATGTCTCCTTGTATAATTTAATTACTACCTACATTTATTTATTTACTTAATTTTTTTGTGTATTTAATTGGATGCTTATTTATTTATTGAGCATTTATTTATTTCTGTATTTATTTCTGACTGTGTCAGGATCGGTCCTCCATAGCGGGGTGAGAGAGTTATCAAGCACGTAAAGTTTGGTTAAGATGTGAGCATGTACACTGAAGTTACAACAATTTCATGGCGAAGACTTGATCTCTGACGCCACGCCACGGACACACCCATTGACGAAAACTCGCAAATAGCACAACTTTTCATTTTCAATGACTTTAGAAGGCACAGCAGAAATTTGAAGTCGGTCGGACTAAATCCCTAGGAGGAGTTCGTTAAAGTACGAAGTTTGGCGAGGCAGGTGCTGAGGAAGTTTGCTCTGTGGGGGGGGGGGGGGGGGGGGGGGGGCTGTCTGCCTGTTAGAGGGTCAACATCAAGCATTAACATTATCTTATCCAGCATATTGTGTGTATCTTTACGTGTTGTGGCCATGGCAGCCTTTGAGTTAAGCACATTTGTGTCTAGTCCAGATTTAATTCAGTTGGATAAATGCAAGAAAACTGAGATCCATGCCATTGCCAACCATTATGACATTGCTGTGTCCACTTCCCTAATGAAGGCTGAGCTAAAAGCTTTAGTTCTGGATGGACTTAGTAAGGGGGTCATCACCTTACCAGGAACAGCACGCCGTCCTGACCGAGAGCTGAGTGTGGGGGGGGACCAGGTTGGCGATGGGACCCCCGCTGGTCGACAAGGGTTACCACCAGAGAAGCCGGTAACTATGCCTCAATTTGTACCATTCTCGGTCGAGTCATCCCCTGGCTCTAAGCAGGATGGCCGGCTGAAAGTTCGTTTGTTGCGGCTTCAGATAGAGAGGGAAGAGAGGGAGAGAGATTTCCAACTACGCCGGGAGCTGGACCTAAAGAGGCTGGCAGCAGAGACCGAAATGAGCAGGGAGCTAAAGAGGCTAGAGGCAGAGACAACATTTAAAATGAGACAGCTGGAGTTACAGGTTAATGTTGACGCCGCTCGCCCCGTTACCCCTGCCAGTGGGTTGTCTTCACAATCTGCTGGTGGCCATGATGTGGGCAATTATATTGCCCTGGTTCCTGTTTTCCACGAGGCTGCGTTAAGAATGCAGTCCTGAGGGCTTATGAGTTGGTGCCGGAGGCATACAGACAGCGTTTTCGTGGACTTCGGAAGACCCCCGGTCAATCGTTTACAGATTTTGCTCGCGAAAAAGGAGTTCTTTTTGATAGATGGTGTGCAGCGTGTAAAGCAGATGATGTGGCCTCTATGCGTGAGCTAATCCTGCTTGAGGACTTTAAGAACTGTCTGCCAGAGCGTACTGCTGTGTATCTGGGTGAACAAAAAATTACTACTTTATTATTACTACTATTTTACTACTTTATTATTACTACTATTTTTGCAGACGAGTTTGCCCTACTGCACAAGGCCACCTTCACCAAGTGTGATGTTTCTTCACGGCTAGGGTTTCAGAAGACTGAACAGCCAGAACATAACCTCTCTAACAGTCATCCCAATATGTCCCCCAGGCAAAAGGCCGACAGAGTCTGCTTCTTTTGCCGCAAGCCTGGACACTTGATTGCTGAGTGCAGGGCTTGGAAGAGGGAGCAACCTAGCACAAGTCCAAAGCAACCAAAGGGTGTGGGGTTGATCAGAACATCTCCCCGACCCCAGGGGCTAGAGCCTGAGAGGCGTGAGACAGCTGTCGACTGTTTTAAACCTTTTATCTTTGACGGTTTTGTCTCTCTGACAGGGAAAGCAGCAGATCAGCGACGGGTGAGAATACTGCGGGACACAGTCACTGATCCTGTCTGGCATTCTCCCCGTGGGCGACCGGGCTGATGTGAGTGCCATAGTGAGGGGTATCGAAATGGGGTTTGTACCTGCGCCACTGCACCAGATCCATGTCCATTCCGATCTGGTAACTGGTTTCTTTACGGTGGGTGTACAGGCAGAGTTTCCGATAGGGGGCATTGAGGTAATCATGGGGAATGATATTGCTGGGGGCAAGGTGTTTCCTGTCCCTAAGGTGGCCAACAATCCTATTCCTGAATCTGGGCAGGATGAGTTGGTGAAAAGCCATCCTCAGATTTTTGTAGCCATCGTCACTACGCGAGCACAGGTTCGTAAACAGAATCAGGAAGTCGCCTGTCGGATTCACTTTTTGCCTCTAATTTCTCTGAGGAAGGTGTGCCCCATAATGTCCCTGTGAACTGCAAGGATGATGGGACTGAAGTAGTGGACCCTGTGGGTGAGCTGGACCCCGCACCCATGCCGCTCACTCACGATGCTCTGATAAGAGCCCAGAGAGTTGATCCCTCATTGGTTAAATGTTTTGCTTCGGTGGTCAAAGAAAAAACAGAGTTTAACAGTAAGCAACCCTTCTTTATGGATAACGGGGTACTGATGCGCAGGTGGGTCTCTCAAGCAGACGAAGCAGGAAAAGAGCCGGACGGCGATTGGAAGGTAGTTTATCAGGTAGTGACACCTGCTGACTGTCGACAGTATATCCTGGAATTGGCACATGATCATTTATGGGCAGGTCATTCGGGCATTAGTAAGACCTACCACCGTGTATTAAAGCAGTTCTTTTGGTATAAAAACGGATGTGGCCCGTTTTTGTAAAACCTGCAGAACCTGTCAAGTGGTGGGCAAACCAAATCAGCCTATCCCACCGGCCCCGTTGCAACCTATTCCGGTGGTCGGTGAACCGTTCGAACACATCATGGTTGACTGTGTAGGCCCGCTACCCAAAAGTAAGGCTGGTAATCAGTTCTTGCTTAC